CGCCCGAACAATTCAGTTTTGCGTAGTTTGCAGAAAGCCGGGAGGACGGGCACCTCCTGGCACCACAAGGCAGGGGTGCCTGTAGAGGGGGCACGTGTTCAGGCATTTGCTGACTTTGCCCAATTGCAGGTTGGCACCGGCAGAAAACCTTGCTCCAGTGAGCAAGGCTGTGGTACTGGTGCACAGGGGGAGACGTGGTCTGGCAAACACAATGCATTCGGGCAGAAGGGAGGACGAGATGAAATATTTGATGGACGGGGACGCAGAAATTCATCCCCCCCCCCCCCGGTTCGTCTTTGCCCATTGTTTGTTTTCTCTTAATTGGCGTGGCTTATGTAAGAACTCACATTCTGTCTGTCTTTCAGACCAACATGACTCTCAACGAGCGCTTCGGAATCCTGAAGGAACAAAGAGCGGCCCTCTCTCAGAACAAAGGCAGCCGTTTCGTGACTGTGGGCTAGGGCCTGCCCGGCAGAGGGATGCCCCTGCGCGGATGGCCTCTCCGTCGAAGAAACCGAACTCACAGTGGGCAGGACGGAATGGGATTTGTTTCAAGATGCCGATGTGAAGCTGGGTCTCTCTCTTTCCTGTCCCTCTTTTATTTCTTAAAAACACCTGCCTTTATTTTGAATCATTAAAACAAATCCCAGGTATGGTATTGGGCAATAAAAAAAGGAGAAAATCCGATAGTGTACTCGATAGGTGGTGTCGTGGGCGCCATAATAGGAAAAGGTTCTGTGTAGCCCCAGAGAGGAGGGGACAAGCAACCGCGCTTCTCTGAGTACCCCAAAGCAGCCGACGGAGGTTGGTTATTAAAGGTAGAGGTCCGTCCTTGGCCCGCAGCCCGCGGCGAACAAACTGAAAAAAGGGTGTCAGGTCATTTCGTTCACATCCCTCCCTCCCAAAGTTGGCCCCTCCTGTTCAGCACAGAGTTCAGTGTTGAAGAGCCCTTCATTTCTCCCGGTTGCTTTTCTGCTCCTTCGGAAAGCTGGAGTTCTCCCCTTCGTCTGATATCGAAAGCCCCAAGTTGTTTGGAAACCTGAGGAGGTAAAATAAAAACCCAGTATATTCTTAACAGCGTTTGGAGTCCAAAAGGGCTGTCACTCTTGCAAGTCACAATCAAGAACGAGGCTGTGGTGAGAAGCCAACCTTGTGTGTTTTGAAAACTAGGCCTATCTCATTGGGGGGGGGAAACGTTTCGACTGACGCAAGCGAGTTTCTTTTTCTTTTTTTATACTGCCGGCGTGCTCCAGATCTTCGCCAACCGAAGCAATGATTCGATGGCTATCGAACGCTAACCTGATAAAATTATTTTGGTGGTCGCGATGTAGAAAAGCGCACCTCGTACCTCCCGATCCTTAAGTGTTAGTTTATCGACAGGTTAGCATCAAGGTTGGGTTCAAAGGACCGTCTTGTTGTATCAAGGGATCAGAAGCAGCGGAGGCGTACCTCCCGATCCTTAAGTGTTAGTTTACCGACAGGTTAGCATCAAGGTTGGGTTCAAGGAACCGTCTTGTATCAAGGGATCAGAAGCAGCGGAGATAACGTTCCAGACTTCACACACTGCATTGGTTGGGCTCTTGAATTCATAACAAACGTGGTAATTTTCGCGGTGGACACGAAGTGGCAGTCTGCACTGGAAGATCCAAAGCCGCTTGAGGTTAGCTGCGTTCAGGGACCAGAGCATGAACAATGCAACGGCTTACGTATCGCATCGTGGACTTGCATTTAGGTACATCTAGATAAAAGGATACTTTTTTCTTCTGTCCAGTCCACCGAAGCAAGGTCTGGGCAACAAGATCCATGGGTTTCTTTTTCTTTCTTTTTTTTCCTAATTCCCATGTAACTAGTTTATCCCGGAGTTCAAAACAGGGGGGCTCTTCTCTGTGGCAGAAGAGGGGGGCTTCCTGAGATCAGTTTTAAGACAGTCGTATATCCATGAGCATTAATGTTCAGCTACTTTTGTTCTTAGTTCTTTGGAATATGTTCTGTACCTTTGCAGCCGGAAGAGTTTAGAACATGAGAAACGTTTTTGCTTTTTTTAAAAAAACAACAATTATTAGTAGACGTTCTGTTCAAGACATCTGTTAGCATTGAGGTAGACTGTACGCTGATGATCATCCTGTGTTTGGTTTTTAACCAGGATGCAATTTAAAAAAAATAAAAATCTTTTTTTTTTTTGCATCAACATGGATGCAAAACATTGATGCAATGCATCTCAAGAGAGCTAGTTTGTATTTAAGGATAATATGCTTTAAACTGTACCTTTTGGTATTTTTTTTGAGAAGTTACTACATTTGGATCTATTCTAAAGCTGTTGGAATTTTTAAAAATTAAAGAAGTTACACGTTTACCACTCTGTGCGCTTGGTATTGAATTTCGCCTCCTTTTCTGTTTCGGTTTAGGACTTGACAATAATCGCTCGTTAAGTTGTTGACACCAGTACCTAAGTCTGCGCCGGGCACAGTGATCTTCAGTCAGGTGGTCTTTTGTGCCGAAAACAGATCATGCCGTTGGAGTTGTTCACCCAGACTAAATCCCTTTTCCGCCCCTGTCACTTCCCCCTCAGGGTGTCACCTGACACTGCCACCACTCTGGATTTAGGTTCCCTTGAGAAGGCCCGGAGCACCCTCCCAAGACCTTCAGACCTCCCTTGTTTGGCCGAAATAAGCGTGAGGACCAGGCAGAGTAAACAACAAGGAAAAGGTTTATTTTTACGGAGGTCAGCCCAATATGGGAAACAAGGTGCAAGAACAATATCAGTAAGGGGGTGAAAAGAAAAGGCACCAAATGCCCTAACGTGTCTAAACTTACCGACCCCAGCTCACTGTCTCAAGTGGGCCTGAGTCTGCTCAATCTTCCTGTAGCAACCAGGGGTCCTTTCCAGAACTCAAAGCTGCTATTGCAAGGGACACAAAGCACAGGAATTCACTAAGAGGTATCTGCCACCACGTTACTATTGGGGTTCTCCCCTAGCCATGGAGCAAAGTAACGGAAATCTCCAGGCTAAACACAGAACACCATTCACAAGAACAAGCTATGCTGTCTCCACACCACAGCTTGAACAGAACACAAACACAGTTGGTAGTTAGCCAGACCAAGCAGTCTGAGACAAGGGATTTAGGCTTTGAAACTCTTGAGGCCAAGTAACCCAGACAAGATAAAAATATAGTTTCTTTATTTAAATAAATCACAAGAACAAGCTATGCTGTCTCCACACCACAGCTTGCACAGAACACAAACACAGTTGGTAGTTAGCCAGACCAAGCAGTCTGAGACACAGGATTAAGGCTTTGAAAACTCTTGAGGCTCAGTAACTCAGGCAAGGTAAAAATATA